GCATAGATGAATATATGTAGATGAATAGTTTCTTGTGACATCACAGAAACAATGAATTTAATACAGGCTGTTTTTGCAGCTTGGTTTCCATGGACTGTATGAAGTGGGTGGTGAATGGTATTGAAACTGTGTTTACATTGAAAACAGTCCTTTTGAATAGTCATGTAGGCTCAGGTAGCAGAAGTGATGTGTCCTCTCAGTGAAAATCTTCATAAATGGACTTTCACAATGGTCACTGGACTTCCAAAATGGCAGACTAGATGGACATAAGTGTGCCTTTGTGTGGCGTGTATTATTTTACATAGTAAACTATATTGTGGTTAGGAAATAAATAATATGAACTTGAACACACATGCACATATTTTCCATTTTTCCCAGCAGAAGGCCCGGACGAATTTTCCCAACACAACCACAAACCAAGGAAACAAAATGCCCTCATTGTAATTAGCTCAGACGGTTTTTTCCACGGATTGGAAATCAGCGTGTTTGTTCGCATGTTGACGATTTTGCTCAGTGCTTAATGCAGTGTGCTGTAAGATGATTGGAATCTCTCTCTGGCCTCGGAACATGGCTTACAACATCAGTGTACAATATATAAAATGACGTGGGATACCCAGCGTGATTTACATGGACGGATGAGGAATAATTTTGTGGGTCACTCTGGGGGTGTGTGACTTCCTGTGGTTAGCATTGGGTCATGCAAAGTGAAGGACGAGAAAGAGATGGACCAGGCCACGACGGTACAAGAGGGGACGAGTGATCTGTATATGGGAAAAAAAAAACATGCATAATTACAGCACAATATGTAATTATAACTTGAACAAAAGCAGAGGCCGAGCAGAACACACACATAAGCAGGCCTTCAGAAACGTGCAGAAGACCCAGTGACCTAAACTATGTACGGGGAAAGTAAGCCAGAGTGGGTGTTTAGCTTGGAATGAGCTGTATCCCAAACCACTGTGGTCTCTGTAATAGCAAGCTGGTTTATGTGTCTGTGTGTGTGTGTGTGTGTGTGTGTTTGTAGGTGGGTGAGTAGGGTGGGTGGGTGCGCGGAATCAAGGCTTGGGAAGTCCCATCTCTCTGATTACTGGCAGGCGCCCACCTCTGCGAACCATGTCAGCCACCTACGTCCACCATTATGGTCCGCTAAAGCCACAAATCAGAGATTTGTAAAGCTGTTTTGGTTTTAAATTTATGCCAGCAAATTTTTATATAGTCCCATTGATTCTACAAGGTTACACATTATAGAAGCCTCATTTTCCACAACAGTGGAGGTTTTTTCAAACAGTGAAAACATAAACAGACCATTTATAGCCTCTATTTATCCTTTTATTATTTCTTCTTTGATTGTTGGTTTAGTAGCACTTTATTTTGAGAGTTCCCTGTAGATCTTGTAGATAAACTAACATTCAAATAAATAGCAATCAAATACTGAAGTTAAATGTAATAGATTCTATTGAATCTAATCCTTAACCTAATTCTAATTCAAATCTTCAGCCTAAAATCTACTAATATTGCAGATTATCTGAGCTGGGTTTCCTAAAGGCATCTTAGCACAAAGATGATTCTTAAATGGTAGAGCAAGCATGACACTCTCTCTCAGTTAAGATGATCTTAATACTAAGATGCTTTTGGGAAACTGGGCACAGAAAAGTTATAGAGCTTGGCCTATGAACTTGAGGTTTAAGGATGGTTCCAGTTCGTTGCCCCTTTATTGTGAGTTTAGCCCCTTAAACTGCAATGTCCACAGAAAACTGCTGTTCAAAAATTTGGAACTGCTATTTTCAGTCATGTACAGTCTTACCAAAACATGCATAAATATGGCATTAAAACTGCCAATTTTAGTGCATATTTTTATTTGGTATGTTTAACACATTGGGGGAAAAATATAAAATATAAAATGTGCCATAACTTTTGCACAGGGCACATTTCCCTAATATGCTAGGTTTGGCAAATAAACAGTAATTGTGCATTAACGTGCAAAAGTATGTTCTCTGTAGAGGATTTATTAACTTATTTTCACTGAGAAAAAATAACATTTTAGATATGTCCAGAATAATGAATGGAGCTAATAAACTGTATTATATTGTGAATTAACCTATAATCAAATGTATATCCAGAATTTATCGTATTTCAAAAGTGGAAATGATTCAAAGCAAATAGTTTGACAAAAAAGGAAATAGATAATTACAGTACTTTATTTGTCATTTTGTTCAATTCTTATTCACAGAATTCTTAAGACATTGACTGAAACAGAATAAAATACCTTTTGGTGAATAGTTTGGTACATATAAATCCACACTGTATGTAATACAACAAAAAGTATTTAATGTGGCAAGTGACTATAAACTTTTATACTGTAGTTACATATAAGGTTCACAGTAGGTTCATAGTAATTGCTAAATACGTTGTAATAGTTATGCGATAATAGATCATCAGATTAATAACTGAATAAAAATAAGCCTGTTTTTTAAAAGGTTACCCACCAAATATATTAACATTCCAGAACAATTCAAAGTCATACTTATAGCTGCTGTTGTGAAAAAATGTGTACTTCCAAATGGAAACCTTATAAAAGCAAGATAAATATCTTTACTGTAAATTAATGTACTTCTATTCCTGGCCATTTCTATATTCACGTCTTTTGAAATGGTGTGAAAATATAAAAATGAAAAACAATTAGAGTTAGGAGCTATGACAGTGATGATATATAAGAACTCAGAGTATCGATCACGGACCCACTGCCAACATGGACAGAGTGGGCCGTTCAGAGATTAGCAGTGTCTAATGGCAGTGCAATTTAAGATGAAGCAACAAATGAATTGGCTGCTGACTCTCTTATCCTATTTAGGTTCCACTTCAGATACATGAGCAGTCTTTGGCATAAACAGACACTTTGTGTGTAGCTAATGATTGTGGATGGCAGCGCACCTGAATGCTCTTAAGTGGTGTAATACAGCTGTCTCTGTCCACAGTGTTATTGAGAGGTCTGTAACGTGATAAGGCGAGCCGCTCAATAGCACTGGTGAGATGAAATTAAGCTGTTCAAACGAAGGAAAAAACGCACCCCGGCCTACTTCACCACCTAACAGTGATTTTCCGAGTGTGTTAAACGTTAATTTTGTCTTTGCGTCTCGGACGCCAGAGAAGAGGCTAAGGACTCTAGACGGTCACTAGCTATGTTAGACACGCTCTCTCCCACCCACCCCTCACCCCTCCAACTTTCTCTCCCCTCCATGGCTGCCAGATATAGGAACAATGTGGCCTTTCTTACCTGTCGGAGGTGTACATTCCATCCCTACTAAACCAAGTCAGAAAGCAGCCCCCACCAATTTACCCCTTCTACACAAGCCCTCACAGCCCCACCAGATTTACCTCCAGGTGTCTTGGCATGTGCTCGCCCTATTCAGAAGAAAAATATATGTGCAATGTATGTCCATCTAGTGCTACACATCCAAAATATATCTGCAATGTATGTTAAAATATTTCATCATAACCCAAACATTTGTGCAATGTGTGCCAATGTATTTCTGAATATCCAGAACATGTGTACAATGTATGTACATGTTTCCTCATGTCCAAAATATATATATGCAATATATGTCAATGTATTTCTGCATATCCAAAATATCTATTCAACATGTCAATGTTTCCTGATATCCAAAATATGTTTAACATATGTCAAATATATGTTCAATGTGTGTCAATATATTTCCCCATAGCTAAATTATGTTCAAAATTTGTTCAAAGTTTGTCAATATATGTCCACATCTAACATATACATTTAATGTCAATGTATCTCCTCATATCTAAAATATATGTTCAATATAAGACAGTATGTTTCTTGAAATTCAAAATATGTTCACCATATGTCAAATATATGTTCAATGTGTGTCAATATATTTCCCCATAGCTAAGTTACATGTTCAATAATTGTCAATGTTTCCTCATATCTAAAATCTATATGCAATATATATCAACATATATCAATATAATTGCTTATATTCCTAAATATACGTTTAAGGTGTGTCGGCATATTTCCTAATCTATAAAATATTTGCTCAATTCATGGCAGTGTTTTCTAATTTTGAAAATGTGTGTGCAATGTATGTTAATGTATTTCCTGAAATACAAAATATGTGTTCACTGTATGTCAATATATTTTCTCACATCTGTATGTTCAACATGTCAATATATTTTATGATATACAAAATAAACGTTTAATGTTAGTCTATTTCCTGATGTACAAAATATATGTTCAATGTGTGTCAATATATTTTCTCACATCTGTGACATATATATTCAGTTTATGTCAATGCATTTCTTTATATCCAAAATATATATTCAGAGCATGTGAATATATTTCTGCATAACTAAAATAAATATGCAATATATTTGCATCATCATTCCAAAAATTCACTTACCACATCGCCCCTACATTAGTACTGTAGGTAGGCCTAGTTTTTCATGTTTTTTCCTGTCAAAGCACAGGAGATCGATCTGTAAGTATCTGATATAATTATTCAGCAGAAACACAGGATTGGTCATGGCATGAATCACTCGCCACACTGAGGACGATTATGATTTGAATTTACTGGATTCAAATATGCGCATCATTTCCACATGGATAAAATATATCATATCAACAGAGCTATTGCCAAAAGTTGGTCAATCAAAGGACAAATTTGTGGTGACGTAGTACAAGTTATCATGTGAAAATTTTGCACAGATTTATATCAAGTCCATTTTTTTGTGCAATTAACCACCCGTCTCTGGAGTCTGCAATGTGGAGAGGGAATTGGTGGAGGTGGTGGGGAGGTAAGCTGGGTGGGTTGTGACTCTTGCTCACTACAATTCATAATATAACTTTCTTGTGGTCGTTTTGTGGAGAGCATAAATTTAGGAGGTCAGGAGTGTGAGAGTTGCACTAAGGACACGGGAGGGCCACAAAAAAAAAAAGTGTGGGAGCTTTACAGGAAAGTTGCTTACATCGCCCATAGACCCATCCCATTTATGCAAGTGAAGTGATAGCCAAAGCAGAAGAGAGAGAGAGAGTGAGAGAGTGAGAGTGAGAGAGAGAGAGAGAGAGAGAGAGAGGTCGCTCACATGCACTCTTGAAGTTCAGAGCTATTGGTTCAAAACGAAGAACAAAGATTAAGACTGATTTGTGAAGCTCTCCTTCTGAACTTCTGGGTCACAGCACCGTTGGCTTGTGGGATAATACGATATTTGAAGATATTCTACCTGAGCAGACAGGTCCAAGGAAATGCTACTAAGGTATGTCAGAACTATGCTTTGGTCTCAATGCTATGCATGCTTCAAGGTCCTCATTCTACAGTGAAACTTTTTTCTTTAATTGGTTCATGCAGAACCTTTAACGTGTATGGCAGGTTTCAGGTGGAAACACCCTTTTAATCTAAAGCTAGGTTTGATCTATGTTCATGATTCAAGTTGTTACATTATTATTGTTTTATTGCACCAGATGGATTAATGGAGATACAAAATTCTTGAACTGTTCTTACACTAGAGAAATCTTTTAAATAATAATCTATTAAAATATTAACATCAGTATTGTTAAAGTTTATTCCTTGTTGCCGGATGACACCACAATGTCATATTTTACATGACCTATTTATATATTTATTTACATATTTATTCATAATAAGGCCATGATTTCTATACAAAAACTAAGCCTGATACAATTCTAAATAACACTTTGAATTGAAAGTACCATGACAATGACAATGATGTACTCCAAATCTTTGCTTAAACTTTAAAAAGTTCATCACAAGACAAAATATCTATCTATTGATTTTTTTTCAGAACCAAAAGAGGCTCTTCTATATTGTTGCTCTAAAGAACCCTTGTAGGCACCTTGTTTTTAAGAATGTACAATTGACATGACCCTCAGAATACATTACTGACTGTTGAAAATGGGCTTTAATATGGATTGTCACGCATGAAGACAGACTTTTGGAGGCAAACTTTCAGTGGCGGTTTACCAGTCACAATAGCATCTGGTATTTCAGTGTGAACTGGTCAGTATGCCACACCTGATGTTGAAACAGGGCTGGCGTGTGAGAGCTGTGCCCTCAGAGTTTGGGAAACCAGTCTGAGGAAACCCACCAGACATGGTGCTAAAAGCAGGATATAAGACTTTCGTTTTTACTGAGTGCAGAAAAGGGGCAAAAGATCGTCAACAAATTAAGTAGTTGTAACAGTCGCGGACGTGGTCCAGAGAAGTTTCACTATTACTTTACGACACTGTACTCTTTTTCAGTGGTTTCTTACTTTAACGTTACATATTTGCTTAGCAATTCAATGGTGGACTAAAAAAGGTCGAAGCCACTTACAACATTTCCATCATTAGCAATAAAATAGTTAGGCTTGCCATTTAATGATGAAGTGTAATCATGATGAAGTGTATGAAGTTTTCAATATTTCCAACTACAGTGAACTCAGATAATTAAATACTTAAACGGCAGGTGGGAAGCATATTCAATTCCACTGTCAACATGCCTTTAAAAAGTTTTCCTGTGACACTGGTGTCTGTGGTTAGGCCCCAGCCTACGTTTTCTGGACAGCAGGCTGGCTCCCAAAAGATTGTCTTATCAGGACTTGACATTACTGCTCAAAAGCTCAGCTGATAGGACGAATCCGACCCAACGGAACTCTGCATGCCATGACACACCATAACATTCAGAGAGCGCGGGAAAGTCACTTAAATTGATACAAGAGTTTCAGATGTCTCTTTATTGACGACATGGACACACTTGCCTACACCGGATATGCATCTTCTTCAGAAGTACCAGTGCTTGATAACATGATGATATGATTCTATTTTCTTCTGAAAAATGTCTTAAAATCGAATGTTTCTTTGCACTTTTTTGGAATTCCTTCATACATTTCTCGGAGGCTCTGAAGGACTAGCAGTGATCTTGTTCTTTATTAATGTCCATTTGGTCTCTGGCACCATCTCATGTTTGGAAGTGGTCTATTTTCAGATGTCACATTCTAATTAGCCGAACTTACATAAGCGAAACATGTTATGCGTTACCCAACATGGAAAAAGTGCAAGAAAATGTACAGAGAATCGGAGCGCAGACCAACAGCCCTCCCGAAACTGACAGCTGGCAGCAGAATTCTCTTCTTACTGAAGCTGAATGAAATGAAATTCTCACAAAACCAAGGGAATGAAAGGAACTTTGCGACACCTTTAAGAATCATTAGTACCTTAAATCTAGTAGCCTAAGCAGTGCAGTAATGCCTGTCCTCACGTCTTTTAGTGTGTTTCAAGTTAAGCATTTTCTAGAAACCACTAGTTTGATGACTAAAGGCTTAGTTTGTTTGTGGTGAAATGTTCACTGTATGTTCCAGATTGGAGCACTGCAGCTGGGGCCTTTCCTGAATGTGTTCAACCGTAAATAGTCCTCATCCCTTTAGTTTCAATCGTGAGGTGAGTTGGTACAAATAGATAAAAGACAATATATTCTCATTCACAAACAACAAAAAAGAAATTTTATTTTGTTGCTTAATTTAGACACATGGAATATTGCATTTCAACGATTTGATATAATGTCTTTTCCTGTTCTTGTGTCCTTAGGGACTGGCAAACTGTAACAGACTTCATGGGGGACTGTCAATGTCTACAACTCAAAGATTCAATGCAAGTGGCGGACTCCGACCTAATCCCACCCCTCAGCAGTCAGAGATGGACCTGGCCTGGCAAGAACTAATGGCCATCACAGAACTGCAGGTCAGTCCATGGCATTAAAGGTTGTGACTCACACATTCCTTGTTTTCCCCAACCCGAAAGGTCAGAAAACAACAGATTTCAGGGACTGTCCATGTGTGTCAAACGTTTTTAACCCTAACCCATAATGCATTCTGTATCATTTCCCGAAAAGACACGTTCCTTAATCCCTTATTTTTGGAGAGCTTGTGGGGATCTACCTTAATGAAAAATCAAGGCCTATAACATTTAGCTAATGCTGAATTCCCCCTAAACACACTGATTCTGTTAAGATCTGCAACAATAGGCCAATTGAGTGATGCAAGGATAAACGGAGACAGAGAAAGGGGGTGAGTGCCGTAGGTTGCCAGCAGCCCCCTGCGCAGCACAATGGCCATCTGTTTCTATCTGAAACCTGAGCAGACCTAAGCGAGCCCTGCATAAGCTACGGGTGGCACACTCGTAGCAGGTGGGCTGGTCTCACAGTCTGCAACCTGCAGATAACTTCTAAAAAAGGTTTTCTTGCTCTTCCCTGTGCCCTTTCTTCCATAACAAGAATCACAAAATCATTTATTTAATTTTGTTGAACTATACTTGCTACCAGTTTCAACTATTCCTTGCCCCAAGATAAAGAAACAGGTGTAACTTTAATGATGACTGATTTCACACTTTATTTGTATTGCAGGAATTTGAGGTACCCAATGAGAATCCTTTTGAGGCTGTGCCATATCTCTCTATGGAGCCCATGGTGCCATATGGGAGTTTTGGAGTGAGTCATTCACTGACCGAACCCAGTCCACCTGTCTGTGAAGCAAGCCCCGCTTCTGCTGCTTTTGAAAGTGGGTACATTGATGTGATGCCCCCCTACCAGCGTTTGAACCCACACATGGAAATGCACTATGGACACAGTGGGGGTCAGATGACATCCAGGCTACTGCCAAATGCACAGTCCTTTCAGCCCCCCCTCATGAGCCTCCTGGATCACATGGGCATGACGAGCACTAGCCAGGGACTCGGAAAAGATGTCTCTGGACACCCGGCAGACGACATAGAATCAGACTCTGGTCTGTCACTGGGCTCAAGCCCTCCACTTGCTTCACCAGAGAATGCTGCACATGGGTTACCCACGTACCAACCCCATGATAGTCTCAGTTATGCCGAGGGTGAAGCACAGTGCATCGGAGACCAGTGTCGCATGAGGACAAGTATACCCAGCTCTGTGGATTACCAGCACAACTCCAGCTCTTACTCTGGACACTCCTACTTCTCTGTAGGACCCAACTTGCAACATGTTCCACTGCAGACACCCCAGTCCCAACAGCAGATAACTATCAAACAGCTGTTGCCCACTACCCTGAATGATTTTCAAGTAAATGCCTCAAGAGGAAGTGCCTTTCAAGGATCTTACCCCAAAGCTAGAGGAAGTGGGTCCTCAGGACCACTCAGCAGGGATGAGCGGAAGGCACTTGCTCTCAAAATCCCCTTCCCGTTGGACAAGATTGTGAACCTGCCTGTGGATGAATTCAATGAACTACTCAGCCAGTACACACTGAGTGATGCCCAGCTGACATTGGTTAGGGACATTCGGCGCCGGGGGAAAAATAAAGTGGCAGCGCAGAACTGCCGTAAAAGGAAGTTGGAAAACATCGTGCACTTGGAGAATGAGTTGGGGCAACTGAGGGCACAGAGAGAGCACCTAGCCAGGCAGAGACTGGAATTTCAGCAGAACCTCACCATCATTAAATGCCGTCTCTCAGATCTATACACCAAAGTGTTTTCTCAGTTAAGGGATGAGGAAGGACATCCATATTCATTAGATGACTATTCACTTCAACAGACTAATGATGGTAACATTTACCTAGTGCCACGAAATGCAGCACTTGAGGGGGAATAAAGTATTTCTCCATTTTCTCATTATGTATAGGACACTTTACATGTTAAAACACGGGCCCCAAATAAGCCCTTTGATTTCAAGTGCAAAAATGCATTTTGGGGCTGGGCCAGTGATTTTGCGCCTTTAACACCCCTCCTCAGGGTTAACAGCCAAATACTATAGAAGACTTCAAATAAGAGTGGTCTAATACCTTGGTCGTAATATCAAACGCAACCTGAAGCATTATTCATAAGCTGTACACCAGAGAGAAACAAGACAATCATATTGTTTCAATAAAGCTTTTAATAAGTAAAAACAGGTAAAAACAAGTAAAAAAGTAAAAACATTTCCACCAGCTTCTTGGTCCTACGAGAGATAAGAACTTTAAAAATAATTTAGTTGAGGTGGGAGAGAAGGACAAAAAGAAAAGGTTTACCTTCAGTGCCTGTAGAAACAAGCAAAAATCCATTCTGGATTGAAGACGCTTTGCATCAAATTCCTAGAAAAAAAAAGAACCAAATTATTTAGGCAGTTAAGCTTCATACAACCCATAAAGTATACACATACTACGATTGCATGCATTAATCTGAAGGCACACAAACGTGTATTCTTGTTAAGCTGTTGTGCCAGTTCACGTCACTCTGCAGTTACTTCCCTGTAATTATGACACTGAATTCAAAGTTGTGAATACTGTACTTGTCTACAATAAATAAAATGAGTCAAGTTCAACAGTAGTGAAGTCTGTTCTTACCTACAGAAGGCAATAAAGCCATTTTTGTTGCTGCCTGCTAGTCTTTCAGAGGCGACCTGTACTCAAATGCTCCCTGTTTCCTCCCATGGCGACGATCTTGCTACTCATCCCTCAGCTTGCTTCCATGGCTAGCCTTGGCAATACTGTCAACTAATCTACTTTAAGGCAACCTACATGCAATGTAGGTTGGGCTGGGCACTTATAACGTATAACTTATAAAAGCAGACTAAAACTTCCCATTAAGTAAACAGTGAGAAACGCAGCCAACTGTGGACCTGAATTCCAATCAGGTGACTAGGTCAAAGCCCTTCCATGGATATTCACTTTAGGTGTATAGCCAGCAAGTCTTCTCCATTGCTAGGCCTGTCTACATAACTCAAAACCCCAGCCCCCAGTGACTTAAACAGCACAGCTCTTTTAAAAAACAGTAAGATTCTTTATTTCAACAAGACGGTTGAAATGACATGATTAGTACTGACTGAAAATCTACATAACCTCATTTCATTTGGAATGCATTCCATAAAGAAAATAAAGATATAAAAAGCCTGTATGGCAACAAAACTGAATGCAGGAAGTTCCACTCATGATATCGCTACTGTACAGCTCTTCTGATTGGCTGAGAAGATCTAGGGAGTAAACCTGCAGCTGCCCTGTCAGCCCTCTCGCTCTCCTGTCTCCTCTCCTAAGTACTGAGTCCTGTTGAACAATATGAACAACAATGTTAAGCTGCACACTGCCTATTGAGGCTTCCATAGATCATGTTAAAATTTAAACTTGACATGGGGGATCCAGAAGAAAACTACATTTGTTGACAGACCATTTCCTAATACTCATCTACAACAGCACCTAAACTTAAAGCTTTACACGATTCTACATACGAACCTTTAAGGATTAAAACCGTCTGCCTCCCCCAGAGCCACCATATCCTCCACCTCCTGAACCACCACCATATCCACCTGATAAAGATGGAAATTTTAAGTCATAAATTCAATCTAACAAATTTAGTTTGTTACTTACAAGAATAGTTTACTATTAACTCACCACCATATGGGCCACTGTTTCTGCCTCCTCCAAAGTTTCCTTTCATGGGGCCATAATTTGACTGTTGGCTGTTGTAGTTGCCAAAATCATTGTAATTGCTGCCACTGCTGCCACCGCCTCCAAAGCTACCTATACATAAGAACCACATTATGTATTCACAAACATGAACACACATGCAAAACAGCCTTTACACAGTGGCTGACTCACCACCGCCAAAGTTTCCATTGCCACCGTTGTTGTAGTTGTCATAGCCATTACCGCCGCCACCACCACCACCATACCCTCCGCCTCCCTGATTGCCATAGCCTGGTCCACCTCCACCGCCACCATAGCCACGGTTGCCTCCATAACCAGGGCCACCTCCATAACCACCTATGAGGACAACGAAAATAAAATTAAAGCAACACTTCCCATCTTACAATGAGCCTTAATATTGCCCCTTTCAGGAGAACAGCCATTAAAGCAACTCAATAGTCTATTCCATGAATATAACATGTCATACATAAAACTACCAATAAAGCTTGACTTGAAAACTGAAACATACCATCTCCTCCAAATCCATTATTGTAGGCATCTCCACCTCCATACCCTCCACCACCTCTGTCCCCTGAAAGACAGGATACAAAAGCACCATTAAACAAGCAAATCTGGGGACAAGACATCCTTGACCATTTTATTAAAAGCAAGTCAGGGATGAACTCAGACCAACATCAAAGAACAATCTGTTCCATAAATTTGCTGTGCAGGATAAATGCTAACCTACCATGACAATAAGTATTACATTTGAGTTCTGTATAATTACAAAGCCCATATATGCAGACAAAGCACAACTTCCTAGACTGCAGCACAAACATCTATATTAAAAGAAGTTATCTAGCTTTAAATGCATACCTCGGCCACCAAAGTAACCATCTCTGCTACCTCCAAAGTCATTGCTGTAACCTCCGTTGCCATGTCGGCCAAAGTTTCCACCCCCACGTCCTGCACAATGGAATAGAAATTAGCCAACTTGATCACGAGGGAGGGGGAAAAAATTCACATTTCACATAAAAATCAGGGAGCCATCTCTTACCACCTCTCACGTTCCCTGAGAAGTTCTGCATCTCTTGCTTGGAGACAGCCTTTCTTACTTCACAGTTGTGGCCATTTATTGTGTGGTACTTTTGAACTAGGAATAAAACATAACATTAATTCCAAGCACTAAGCCAAAAGCTTAGTCTTCCAGCAGGCCAGCTGGAACTCAAGATACTTACTAACTATGCGATCCACTGAGTCATGGTCTTCAAATGTAACAAAAGCAAAGCCCCTTTTGTTTCCAGTCTTGTGATCAACCATTATTTCAATAGCCTCGATCTTCCCAAACTGATCAAAGTAGTCACGGAGATGGGACTCCTCTGTATCTTCTTTGATGCCACCCACAAAAATCTTTTTCACAGTTGTGTGTGCAAATGGTTTGTTGGAGTCCTGGAATAGAGCACCCACACATTATATATTCATACAGTTCAAGCCATGCATCTAAAGAATAGGCTGTTCTGTCAGCTGGAACTCACCTCTCTAGAAACAGCACGTTTAGGCTCCACAAGCCTACCATCGACTTTGTGGGGGCGTGCACTCATAGCAGCATCTACTTCCTCCACACTGGAGTATGTGACAAATCCAAAGCCCCTAGACCGCTTGGAGTTTGGATCCTTCATAACCTGCAAAAGAAATGGATTGTAAGCAAGCAAATTCAGATCTGACAGACAACTGCCCTGTAGATTGTACATTTAAAAATAAATACAACTAAAGTACAAACCCACCACACAGTCAGTTAGTGTGCCCCATTGTTCATAATATGACCTCAAGCTCTCGTCCGTGGTCTCAAAGCTGAGGCCTCCAATAAACAGCTTCCTGAGCTGCTCCGGCCCGCGTGGCTGGCTCTGGAAAACAAGGCAACTCTGAATATCTAGCTACAACAGCTGGCACCAAAATCCTCAAACATGAACCATTAATCATGTCTGGACAGTTTGCACTTAAGTTATGACAATTCAGCATGTGGTACCTCAAAGATAGTTCAAAAATAACAGCAACATGACAATATTCAGTATTAATTTAACCTTAAAAAAACTCCAACTATGCAGTTGAATAATGGTCAAACAAAAAGTAAGACCTTGGGTAGGATGGTAAGCAGCACTGAGTCATTCAAAGCATGCATTCATACATTTTGCCACAAAATGTTGATTTTGTACTTTGCCAAATTTCGCAGGTTGTGCAGTCTTAAAGATGGTTCTTTGCATGGTGAAACAGTTCTTAAGACTGGTGGAAACCGTATTGTATACGGTTTTCTTCAGCACCCTTTAGGAAATGGTTGTTATGCCGTCAAGCTTGTAACAATAGAAGAACCCCCTTTGGTGCTATACAGAACCATTTTATAAAAGGTCATACACAAAACCATGTACAATGCACTCCCTAACCTGAAGGAACATTTAAGCATACAAATGGTTCTTTGAGTGTTCAGAGTTCTATGTATAACCACTCTAAAAAGACCCCTCGAAAACCCCTCTTTAAGAGTGTAGGCTAAACAGGGCGAGGTGAAGCATCGCATCCGCCATGTTAACACCGGCCACCAGGCTACACTGCTAACCACACAATGGAATATGCCTGCAACAGCCTACTTTCTAACAACATCGCCACACTTCGTGCCCAAGACGTTTTGTGGGAAACAATACAGCCATGTGAGCTTCAAAAAAAAATCCTACTCAAACAGGAACTCCGCCCGGCTTCAGGCCGGTTAAGCTACACTCCGCCATGCGGCCTAACACAATCAAAATGGCGGCACTAAAGCATTCAAGTAGACAGAATAAGCTGCAGTCAGTTTCTTGTTCGAGTTTCCCTGTTCCACCTTAATTGGTACTGCCGTTAACGTTACATTCTGCTCCACTTAAGGTGGAACGGGAAACTTCGAACAAGAAGCCAGCGAATAGGAAGCCCAACGTCAGTCTCGTGTTAAACGGGCAGCTTCATTCACAACTTTAGACATTAAAAACGATCTCCACGAACATTCAGGTCAAACCTTTGTGTAGCCACACACTCTGAAAAGCATTCGCTCATTTAAAATCAACCAACCTCCTTCGACATTTTTTTTTGCACAGCTGCTCTCACTGAACTGCGCCACACAGACCGGTCACCGAAAACGCCGAGGACGAGGATTAAAAAAAAACGGTCAGCAACTATTTATACCCCTCACACGCTTGACCCGCCCACCGCGGAACATGATTGGTTAGGAATTCCCGCCACGGTGCTACGTAACCTTATTTTAGTATCTGATTGGTTACGATTAATGTCAATCTGAAGACGAAGCGCTCAGATCCTCCGCAACCAAACGTTTTGCTCATGTCCGAACTGAGATACGTTTGCAGGCAGCATTAAAAGCAGTTTTTGTACGTTACTAAATGTTGAACGTATTTGAAACCGCACCAATATGCCTTTGGCACGCGAATAATATAAAACATTACAGTCTAAATGTACTATTTGAAATCATGTTGCTACAATACACGAAGATGATAATCTGAGTGTGATTAGACGCGCCCTGCTCAAAAACCAACCAAGTGAATAAATGCTTATAGATGAACGGATAAGGGCATAATCTAGTAAACATCGGTATTGGTTTGCAGGTGAAAATGCAGAGCAGGCATCGTCTGGTGTGTGCATGTGATGTGTGTGTTTGTGTGTGTGTGCGCCATTGTGTGTTTTTGGCGCGCTGCAGCTCACACTCACACTCAGACTCACTTGAATCGCTCAAATCTGCGAAGAGGTTCGCTGCCCTAAACAGCAAGCATCGAAGAAGACCTCTGTGAGTTTAATTGCTTTAGTTTTAAATCACTAGCGTGTGTGTGGTTGGTTTTGCCAGACGTGCGTCGTGTTCGGTTTAGTAGGCTGGATGTTAAATCACCAAGTAGGATCATTAATTTCTCGTAGTCTATAAATGTAGCCGACTGAGCGGTTAGCTAGGCTGGTAGCCATGGCCAGAGTCAGGAATGCGAGTGGGTCTGCGTGTCTGTGTAGCTAACAGTACATATCCTCGGTAGTGAATTACATTGCGCACGATTTCTCGTATCTGTTTCCTCGCCGGAGACCTGAAATGACAGTTAATGTGTTTATAACGTAGCTACAGGCTTGCTAGCTAACCCTAGCCAGCTAACCTAAATCGCCATGTCTCCTGTCGTTATACGAGACTGAAGTTGGCTTCCTATTCAGCAGCTTTCTTTTTCGAATTTTCCCGTTCCACCTTAAATGGTAACATGTAACTGCTGCACTATTTAAGGTGGAACGGGAAAATTTGAATTAGAAGCTGGTTTTAGCTTCGTTCTCGTTAAGCCTCCGGGCCAAGCTTGCCGCGCTGCAACAACCTCACAATGGTAGCTTAACCTCACAGTTACCCGAGTTGTCCCGTTGACAAAATCAAAAACTATGTTGCATCGTTAGTTTCGGCCAAAACCTGTCTTTCTTACGTTTAGTCTAATGATGCTGTCCATGTTTTTGGTGCGGAAGTTAGCTAACCTAATTAGCCATTTCGTGCTGAACTAACGTTAGCTAACGCTAGCTAGCTTACTAAGCCGAAGTGTGGTTTTCTCTAAATAAATCTCATTATGTACATTGTGGTAACCGTGCAAGCAATATTACACCATATTTCCCGTGCCCTTTGAATAACAATTGTTATTTCATTAGTCAGAGCTTTCTCATATTTGTAAGTGTTAATTAAGCTAGCTGGCTAGCTAACCGCTAGCTAAGTTAGCTAACAATGCAACTGGAATGTGAGCCCAGGTAACGTTACACCGGCGCTGTTCAGAGAAATAACTAGCAGGTTTGGTGCGTTACCTAATTTTGCTAACGTTATACGCATTATAAAAGGCAGTTTTACAAGTATCTTCTGTGCTAGACAGGTGCGTTTCCAGTGTCTCAGCGTTATGGCTGAATTAAGCCAGCGGCAGTGTGCAGTAAAAGCCAGCAGTCGTGATGCTGTGCTAGCCAGTTAACGCTAGCTCCTAGTTACAGACTTTGGTTTGGTTTTGGAGAGAATTCGTATACTGTACATTGCATGTTTTTAGCTATAGCGAGGCTATTATTTGCGTGTATTTACACGTTGACTCTCTCATATACCCTTGAATCGCGGTTTTGTTGCTATATTTAAAGCAAACAACCAACGTTAGCTCTCCTAACGTTACCTTTACTCTATTAAATAGGGGCTCAGTATCTATGTAAACGTTAAGGTTAAAAATAATTGAGTGAATTCTAGATTTACGCTTTTTGTGGGGCAATGTATGTTTTTTTCCTGTCACAACCGCTCTTGAGGGCCAAGAGCTCAAGAGGGCACGCATATTTCTGAAATATTAATTTGGTTTACATTTCTAAGAGTGCATTTAGTTTTAAGACTACAGTCAGATATATGCAGTGTATTTGTGCTTTTGCTTAATTCACTTGCTCTTTTACCATTTGATTTTCAGGGGGAGGCAGTCTGCCTGACTTGAACTTAAACATCTGTACTTGAGCGTGGTCTCCGTTCCCTAAGATAGGTAAGCACTAGAAGTAGGTCGGGATATGACAAAAAGCATAGTAGCAACTATGGTCATAATGCAAACAAAGTTTTCAGATATTTTCCATTTGATTGAGCGGGCATAACATCATTATCTCATTAGGAAGAAGTGATATGGAGAAAGGAATACAGCTGGAATGGATTAGGCTGCCTTGTCAGAATATTTAAGAGTTTCTAAATAATAGTGGCACTTAACATGGTGGTATCAGTGGTTGTGTGGATGCAGATGGCCCAATTAAATGCTGTTAAGAGTAAGACCTGGGTCTTATTCCTAAAGCTTCCCATGGTAATCTAGGATCTGCTCCTGTCAGTGAGGTTGTTATAAATAAGAGAGGAATCTCATCCTAGATCTGCACTCCTGCTCTGAAAAGTTTGATTAATATGGCAAATGGACCCATATTTGTGAAACTTCTCAGAAGAAGAGAGTTGATCTGGGACCACCTTACGTCTTTTAAGTAACCGTAAATATATGCCCTGGCCCTGAAATTTAGATCGGATAAAAAAGAAAAAAGTATAGTGAACAATCTAATGCCAAGAGTCAGTGTAGTCTGTGTTGTGTAGATATTCAGAATTCCTGTCAGTCGCTTATTTCATTTGGTACAAAACGGTAATCATGTCGACGGGCATGTGCGTAAGTGCTTGCCGTTTCTTTGCTTGTTTACAGGCGCTTGGACCAGACAGCCTTTCTTAATGATCTTTGTCTTTCATGTCTTTCCTCGTAGAGGGAGAATTTTTCCCTCATTTAGCCAGAGAGAATCCCTCTCTTACTAGTGGGTGAAAAAAAGGGTTCGAAGCAGCCATGGGAAAGAAGAACCAGAACCGTGAAGAGGAGGAGTCTGCGTCCTCGGATGAAGAGGAATATGTGGTAGAGAAAGTCTTGGACAGGAGGGTTGTGAAAGGCCGTGTGGAATATTTTCTTAAGTGGAAGGGTTTTTCAGAGTAAGTTGTTGGAGGTGCTTTGTTTTTGTTCCAAGTTGACTTTAATTATTAATATACAGTTTATACCTCATGTATGTAAACACCTTTAACAGTAGACACAATGGGAGCAAGCTCTGTTTCACACATACTACCGCTTTTCAATTTGCTGCTCATGTTAAGAGGTTAGATTGTTCACTGAGGCACTGCATCCCAGAAGCAGCGTAGAAGTGGTGCGGCATTTAGAAAATAGGCCCATTAAGCCCATTTTTTTATGCATGCAGCACACACCATGCATTAAAATACACTGAAACAAGCAATGAAAACCAATGAACGTGAAACAAGAAAAAAAAATCCCCCCCAAAAAAAAACCTTTGCATACACATTTTGCAGTAGGTCTACAAGCTTGAAATGAAATCACAAGTCAGAAACTGCAAAGGCCAATACGTATATTGTACTCTTTTATGAATTATATCTTAATATGGGGAAAAACTGATTTGATTGTTCATCCACTTGGAAAAAGGATGTCTGTAGGACTTGTGTGCTCCATGGCTCCGCAGCACAAACACTGTATGGTGTAGCAGCTGTCATGCTGCCGCATTACTCATGTCTCACAGAAGTAGAATGTGTGAAACAGATCTAAGTCATAAACCTTTTCCACATTCATAATCATGCATTTTGTCATCATTTTTACCGCCAAGAGAACTGTACTTAAGTAAGTGCTGAGCTTAGTTACCTACTTTGGTGAGTAGTAATTAGTATATAATGTGTACTGAAACGGTGTTTCTGTATAGATTGAGTAAGAAATAGTACAGACCAATGATTGGTCAGATGTTTTTGTTGTAGTATGTATTTTTGTCTGCCACAACTTCTTGAAAATAATTAAAAAATTAGCTAGATAGAATGGCTCTCTGTGACACTCGGAGCCAAATGCAGAGTAAGGGGTAAATCAGCGCTTGTAGCTCCTCCATTGTTGCTGCCGTTTGTGTTTACTGTTGACATTTTGGGTGTCTCCAACACACAACCACCAGAGAACACTGCCCACTTTTACCTTTCAGTTGTGTGATGGGAAGGGTTGGAAATGTTCTGGACTTGAATTAACAGCTATACCGTGCTGTACTGTGCTCTCCAGTGGAAAAACGCCTTTGGTGCACTTTTGTGACACTTTAGTCTTACGTGCATATTAGGGATGCACAGTAATAACAAAACATTAGGGTTGTGATTATATTGTTATGTTGTTGTTGCAGTATGTCTTGGAATACATTAAAACACACTGGTGAATCAATAATGTGACATGGTTATTTTGAGCAATATAATTTAGTTGTGCTTGATTGGATGAATACTCTGATCCATTGCAACACTTATCTGGAACTGTGATTGGTCAAGATGATCATTGCCAAAATGTTTCTGCTCAGAAATTTCTGTTCCTCGTCTAAACTTTAGTCTGTTATCACTCTGCTCCTATTCTGGTTTCTATGCCCTGCTTATGACCTGAGCAAATTTGGAAAATTGAGCCATAATCTTGGTTTTTACTATATATTATTACATAAGCTTGATTGTCTGGCCACCTAGGTTAAGAAATGTGAGATTTTGATAACTATACTTTAAGAAAGTGTCAGGATTTATTGATTTTGGAGTGACACCAACAGTAGGCTGTAAAGCCTTTTCATCTAAAATAACTGTAACCAAGGAACATTAATATTGTTTAGCATAGTTTGCTCCATGCACAGCAACTGAAATTCAGACAAAGTAAAGGATTAGTTACAGAACCCAAAATGTGTTATTTCAATGTTTTAACAACTGCTGTGTAAAACATTAACACCTGTTATTGTTCCTTAATTCTATAAACACAAAGCACATGGGCTATTAGATTGATTGATGTTTTGTAAATCTATTTAAAGTGCATTTTCAGCATTAACAGAATGTTTAGAGGCTCTTTTGCGTGTTGCAGGCCTCTGCTCAGTAATTCTATCAGTAGTGGAAAGGCCAACGTTGAGATGAAGATTATCAACTAAATATTGGGAAGCCCTTTTGCCTATGTATGATGTTACATCATCAACTAATAACCATGTTTATTGATGGGTTTTTTCTAGTAAACACAACACTTGGGAGCCAGAGAAGAACCTGGACTGCCCGGATCTCATCGCAGATTTCATGAAGACGTATAAAAAGGGCAGCAGTGCTACCAGCACTCCCAGCAGCGGGGCCAAAACGTCCAGCACAGGCCCGTCTGGGGCCCGCTCCAAAGACAGCAGCAGTAAGAGGAGAAACTCGGACGAAGAAGAGGAGGGTGGCAGCAAGCCAAAGCGGAAAAAAGAGGTGAGGATGCTTCTAGTCTTGCCCCATTTCCCTTAAAAAAACAACACTGCTCAGAGGTCACAGTGAGGTGGCAGAGCGAGTATCCCTATGAATCCTAATGATTTATGTGGAGGTCAGTGTTAACTCAAACATTTTGGGTTAATTTGAGTAGAGCAATTGTATATGTGGGTTCTGTGGCATTATCAGCTAATTTGTTTCAAAGTGTAACTAGAAAAATGTCTAAAGAATGGACAGGAAATAAACAACCTTCACAGAACATTGGTGGTGCAATGCATCATTTAGACCAATTTCTCAAAATGCATCATTATGTTATTATTATTATTATTATTATTATTGACATATTTTTGCCTTATTGGTTTGTTCAGGAAGAGATCCTTGTTGCAAGAGGCTTTGAAAGAGGCCTGGAGCCAGAGAAGATCATTGGTGCGACAGACTCTTGTGGGGACCTCATGTTTTTAATGAAGTGGTAAGTGCTAGATGTGGCAGTTCCTTGAAAAGTCCACTTTACACCTTCAGAACCATTACAAGACAATAGAGTTGGTCAGACCATTGTCAGCTTTTGCTGAGATCATTTGATTGCCAATGGACTTTCTATTGTGATGCATTTAGTGTAGTTTTCATTCCAGTTCTGCTTGTTTTTAAAGACTTTAGGAGAAGCTTTTACTGTTTAGTCTTTCCACCTTTGGCAAGAGTAATCTGTGGGTGAGAATTACTCTTTGGTGGAAGTGTGAAGGATACATTATTACTGCAATGTAGTGTATTGTCTATTATAAAATGATGAAGTAGGCAGTTCCTGCCTGTTGTTTCCATTGGTCTGCTTACCTTGTAGGAAAACAAGCTTCTATACATCTAAGATCCTGAACAATGCTTTTTCTTGTCTTTGTGTTTTGACCGATAGTAACCTAGTTATCGTGTATAAATCACAGATGTATTTCTTTAGTATAAGGATTGGAAAGATTCTCATTTTAATCTAGTTGAAGTGAACAGTTTACTTGTGTTTATGGCTGAATTCAGCTTTTACTTGGATTTAAACTATAGCATACAGTGTCAGAAGAGGCTACTGTCTGAGTATATTTACAATGTAAACGAACCCTCAGAGGTACAACATGATACTTAAAGGGGAATTCCAACAATTTTTCAAATATTTTGCATAATTCGGTCGTTGTGATGTTAACAAAGTCATTCAGAGTGATTTGATGTGAAACGGTTCATTGTAGTGATTTCTTTACAGTGGCGCTGATAGGAACCAGGTGTCACAATGTCTACAACACTAGTATAGCCATTTAATTTACTATTCAAAACAATCAGTGAACCTACGTGTGTTTCTGTGCTTTTATATGTAATCTTGATAATGGTAAAATAGTGGAAAGTCTGAAACAATACATTTTCTTAATACATTTTCTTTTTGGACTATTTTGCCTTATAACACCCTGCATGTGCCCCTCAGCCATGACAGGAATAAAATAAATGTACTAACAAGACATTGTAGGCTAAGACTTTATGACAAAACTATCATAAAACAATCAGGCAGCACACACCACATTCATAACCATTTTGTGTAATAAACATTTCACACCAAACCACTCTGAATGACTTTGTTTACATCTTAGCCTTTTAATTATGTGGAAATTTTGAAAAGTCAGTGGCATTGCCCTTTAAGGTCCAATTGTACACATATGTGAGGTTTATTTGAATACTGCATTCATTTTTCCACGGGTAATGTGCATATTTCTTTTCATAATGTGCATAAATAAGTAAAAAAAAATCAAAAGCCTGAAGGGGAATATGAAGATATAAATGAAGATATAAATATGAACAACTAAAGGTACAGAAAACATAATGCAGAATAGAGCTTTAATCATGCCTGAGATTTTGGTCCAAACCCGATTACAGCCCAACAATTTTGTCCAAGCCTGACCCAACACACAACATTGTGATTTGAGCCTCAACCTGACCTGAGCTCGACAAAATTCTGTCTGAACCCCACACCTGACTTGAACCACACCAAGTCTTGAGTCAGAAATTAAATTGCAGAATTAAAACTCACAGGATAGCTCTGGTTCCTGTGTAGTAATAATGCACATAATGCTTTTGAACAACATCTCAAATGTTCCATACTGCGCTGCTCTGATGCTGTGCAGTGCTGATGTATTAAAATGTTGGCCTTACTTAATCCTAAAACTCTTTTATATTTGGAAGGCAATAGAATTACATTGATTTTGGAGTGTTTGATTATAGTAGTATTTAATAAAGTATGTACTTATTAATTGAAAAAAAAATAAGGATTCTTACCAAAATAATTAAATGAAATCAAATTCGTGGTGAAATGTCTGATATGATATATTGAATTGTTTTATAATGAACTGTATGAAGTTTGTTGTGCTGTCAGAGACTTTGAATATGAACAAATTCCTTTATGTGGAATTCACATGTAGCTCTATTTTATGAAAACACTTATTAAAACACTTGGGTGTCCTTAACTGTGGTTATTGTCACTTCCCTTACTGCAATATTGCACATCCTCTTGTGTACCATTGAATAACCTATTACAGCATAACTAAGACTGAAATTCAGAAATGTATGAAAACATTCATTCTTAACTCCTGTGATGCAGTATATCCCAAAACTGGAAATGAGAACCACACATTGAATTTCAAAAGTCAGATTCAAAAGTATATATTTCAAAAAATATTCAAGATTATAGGGACACAAAGAAGAAAACATAAATAAAAGAATGGATAAAAATAAAGAAAAATAATCTTAACAGTTTGTCACGTTCACACATAACCTCACATGAAAAGACGTGAGAAAAGCTTAAAAAGCTTAAACAAAAAATTGAAAGTGGTGGGGGTGAGAGCACCCGCCGGTTTCCCCTCTAACACAGACTTTGTCAAAGCAGTTATAGCTTTATGCAAATTATATGTAAATCAGACAGTCTACATATACAACTGCTGATTCATTATTCCAAATCAGAACGTTTTTAATGCTTGCTTGAATTGGTTCAGAAATAAAATTGAACAGCGTTATTGCTGAGATTCAGTCAACAAAGATAGCGTCCCTCTCAGTAACGTCAGCAGGAGTCGCTCTCAGTCAGACTCAAGGTCTTGGAGGTTCCCGAATAGTCTCCTTTCACCCAGTTACACAATGATGTAAATACCCAGTTCAAACTCCTGTACCACAGGCTGCCGCCTTGTCTGGTAGGACAGATTGGAGATGGACATAAATGTCTTTGTTTCTTATGTTTCTCAGGGAACATAAAAAGCCTCACAGAGACACAAGAACTATTATTCCTCAGTGTAAGAAATACATTCTTAAGCAAAATATTCTGTGCTAAAAAGACTCAAATTTGATTTGGAAACTGTTCCGTCTCCACAGGAAGGACTCTGACGAGGCGGATCTTGTGCTAGCGAAGGAGGCCAATCACAAGTGCCCACAGATCGTCATTGCCTTCTACGAGGAGCGTCTCACTTGGCACGAAGATGGAGAGAAGAAAGAGAAGGGTGCTGCAGCGGTGTAAGAGGGCCAGAGGGGGGCGTGAGGGTATCCCACCCAGACCTCCCAACACCCCCTCTCCTCCCCCCTGGAGACAGACACGAGTGCACTCACAATCCGCCCTTTGTTATGGACCATTTTAAAAACACCACCAGCCTCCTAGCAATGGGAGGTCGCTACCCACTTTGTTACGGTCTCCTTTCATCCCTCATGTAAAAAAGCAACTCTTACCAACTCTCACCATCAAGAATTGAGGGACTGGCAAGTGATTGAGGACTGTGGCAAGAGCCTTTTGGGGACTGGATATGTTAGACTGGTGGAATCATGCGTTTCTCTCTTAATTCTTGCAGAGCGTCACCCTGTTTTTCCATGTTTTAAGTATTTGTGCCCCCCCTATGGTTCATGTTCTTACGATGTGTGACAGTGTGATAGCATAGATATTGAATACAACAAAGCAAATGGCAACATTTCTACACAGATGCCATTTTCGTTGTCCTTATCGATACAGCAAGTTTTCGGATCGAGATGGTCGTTCTCCATCTGCAGTGCTGGATTAGTTAGAGGACCGGTTTTCTTCCTTTTTTTATTTTGGTGAGCACGCCAAATGACGGTTGCCCTTTTGTATGCATTCCTCTTGCAGAATCGCTCTCCATCTTGAGGAATGTTTGGAATATGTAGGACCCTGGGGAAGCTTTTTAAACTTTAAATTTCTCCTTAAGGCCCTTCACACATGTCGTATTTTAGCCATATCTGTATTTTTTTTTGGGCTTTTTAAAACATGAATGTCAATTCTTTCCAACCTCTTGGTGTTTTAAAATGTCAGCTCTTATTTAATTTCATAAGCATTTCAACATGTTTGGCTTGCGAAATCTGATCGTATTTGAACTTCATATGTCTGATTGCCTGTCTTCATAGTTATTAATGGGCCTGCTTGTGCCTAGACCAACTTAGGAGATCAGACGAGTATAATTTCGTGTTTATGCAGGGACGTTCCTTTTGTCATTCAGGAGTTATTGTCCATCATGGTCAGACCCAGATGCTCCACCTTGTGGTCAACTTGCTGATAATGTCGAGCATTTAACTTCATGATGATGTAGACTGTGACCATATCACTGTTTACCCTTTCTCTGGCCATATTTAAAAGGGTTTAGCAGATTTGTCAGATTCTCATTTTAGTTCTGTTTTAAATAGTCCAATTAAATGGTCTTTTAACGGGGTTATGAACTCAGGTGTGCAATTCTGTGTTTGTAGAGCCACTGGACAAATGATACCCAATTAAAAAAAAAGGAAAAAAAAAGAAAGGAAAAACCCTGATTTTCGTTGACACGACAGAGCTACTGATTCTGATTCAATTAAAATGTAGTCAGATGATGTTTGTATTAGATTAATTACCACCCACTCTGTGCTGGCTTCTTGGAACATTTTCTTAGCTGTTCTTGTGTTCTCTGTCTCCACAGTGGTGGTACCTTTTAGAAGGGGGTCTGCCCTTTTAAACTTGCTAAAAGGCTACTTTTAGACAGTGGAGTGAAACGGACTCGCACGGTTTTGTGACCATTTTACGCACCACTGATTGTAATGACTGAGTCTGTATATGCATAGTTAAAATCAGAAAGAGAGAAGAATTTCAAGGCAAAGATCAGATATTCTTCGGCTTTCTGTCTAAACGACACTGTAACAGGGTTGTGCATATATCTCTCTTGCAACTGTATTGCTCCACTCTTCATTTTGTCCTTTGTTTTATATTTCTTCGTGTTCTGTTACTTTCATCATGTTACGAAAGTACCCGTCCCATGGCTGATCATTTTATAAAAAGATGTCCATTCAATCAAGTGTTTTCAAAAACATGCTTTTGATGTCTTTTACCAGTTGATTCATTTTTTAAAAAAAATGTCTTGTATCAAATTGTAGTAAACCTAGTTTTCAACACATTTGATTGTAGTTTCATTCAAATAAGCTGACATTGTGATTGGACTGTTCTTAAGGATAGACAGCTAAAGTCTAAGTGGGTGAATTTTGGGTCATTGTGCATTTTTCTTTTCCCAGATACACAAAGGCAGTGCTTCACTTTTCCAGCAGATGGTGCTATTCTACTATGCTCTATTATTTATAGACATGACATTTTAGCGTAGCCCACAATATCACAAAGGATAGTCCTGTTTTTGATAAGATTTGTTGAATTGATTCTTTGTGTTGGTGTAAACTGTAAATTTTAATCTCAAGCAGTGAGTGAAACAAAATGCCTCTGGATTATGTACATATACGGACCAAAAAAGACTACAGTTCACTGGCTTTGTCTTGTATCAGTAATTCCATGAATGCTGTTTATCTTTGATTTTGACTAGTTCTGCACTGCCTACTAGTAGTAAAGAAAAAAGTAACATTTGTTCTATTGATCTTCACATAGAGCATTTCAAGTACATGAAGTAACCCACATCCTGCTCATTTGTGAAATATCATCTGTGAACTATCTTTGTTCTCTTGGTTTGTACATGCAGACATGTAGTCAAAACTGTCAAGTCACCAAAATAAATCAATAAATAAAATGTATGATTCTTATGGCAGCGGATTTGAGCCTCAGAAAGACTGAATAATGCTGTAAAGAAGAACGGTAGGTGAGTACTGTTTGAGTGAACTGCTGCATGGCAGGCTGCTGCTGCTTTTATCCCAGATATCAGAGATGGAGAAAGAAGAAAACAATGGCTAAACAATTGCATTTCCAATTTTAGCACTCATGACTAATGGAAGCCCAATGAGAGTCTAATTTTAGATCATTCAATAAAAAAGCTAGACTTTCAACCTCTTTATTTAGCTCTGATAAAACAACCATGGATTTTTGGTCTATTCACATATATTTATTTATTTAGAGCCCCTGTTCACTGTGCACCATCATTACATGCATTACATGTTACTTTCATACAGTAAGTTAGTTTATGAGATCATTATTATTTTGTGGCAGCAAATGTGTGTTTGTGTGTGTGTATATATATATATATATATATATATATATATATATATATATATATATATATATATATATATATATACTCCGGTATATCTTCCACTGTCAGAAGACAATTCGGTGCTATGATAGGATATTATTAGGAAAAGGAAATTGACAAAAAAGAATACATTTTACAGATAAAAAAAATAAACAAACTGCTGGTGTACTGAGAACAATGGACACACCAGAGTCCAGACCTCAGCATCACTGCATATGTTTGAGATTACTTGGATTGTAAGAAGCAGAAAATATAACCAACTTCTAAGACTGAACTTTGGAGCTATGGAAAAATAGCCCTGCAGATTTCTTTGAAAAGAAATATCCTGTCTCCTGAAAAGAATGGAATCTGTAATAAAGGGAAAGGGTGGACACACTAAATAGTGAAAAAAATGAAATGATGAAATATATATATATATGTGCAGTACTGTGCAAATGTGCCATAACATAAAGTATACACATAGATTTTACACACACACACACACACATTATATATATATATATATATATATATATATATATATATATATATATAAAACAAAAATCTCCAAAATGGTAACTTTACAGGAGAAGGAAAAAAACCTTCTTTACTTTCTTTGCTAAGTCAATGGAACCATACTTTTTTACAAGTCATTTTTGGCCATTCAAATACTGTCAAAAACTACAAAAACGCCAAAAATGGAGATATATAAACACATATAAGACACACATAAAATATGCATATCGATTAGCTTAACCATTTCCAAAGTTCTGCTTGAGGAAGCCCTGTTTTACAGTAACCATCCAATGATGGAAAATCATGATGAAAATGAACAAATCTATACAATGACTGACGTTCACTGAGAAGTGAGGAACCAAACCTGTGTTCTTCTAACTGTATTCTTCTCATCAACATATATTAATAACTTTACTAAAAAATGCAGAGTAAGTCTATGAGGTGAATTGTGGCGGCGGAGTCTTAAAGCTTTAGCCCTGTTGCTCCTCAGCAGCCTCTCACCTCTGTGGAGCTCAGCATTAAAGACAGAAGCAATCTTTCACCCCCACCTCCATCTCTTACTCATACATGGCTGCTTTCCTGACTACCTCAGTGGCAGTGGAATTTTCCAAAGTGAAGGGGGGAGGAGAGAGAGAGAGAGAGAGAGAGAGAGAGAAAGAGAAAGAGAGAGAGAAAGAGAGAGAGAGAGAGAGAGAGAGAGAGGGAAGCTGCAAGCTCCAAATGGAATGCAAAGGTCACCAGTAAATTTGCAGCCGTGGGGAGCAGAGGGAGTGCAAGGTGGTGTGCTTTATGGAGCGCTGGGCCTCTACCGGCTGCACTGCCATCTCCACCTGGAGGAGAAAAGCTCAGCATGAAGGCTGGATCTGCAGAGAAACAAAGAGAGAAAGAGAGAGAGAGAAAGAGAGAATACCAATTAAGGGTTAGAAAAAGTAACACAGCCATTCAGGCATACTAGAAAGTTACCTTAACTCCACCCCACACTCAATGAAAGAACAAACATATTTTATACTGTTGGCAATTTATTAACCTCTTTCTACAGGCCTCTTAGTGGAATGGAAATAGACTAAACTATTTTAAATTAATGTAATAAAATATTTTCCTCATAACTCTGTTAGCAAATGAACTAGATAACACTGCTGACTCTTTGAGTGTGAAATGTGACTCTGTGTTAAGCTGCTAGCGAGCAACGAGGGGTGAGAACTCCCTTCAGTGAAGGAAAAAAAGTCACATCTTTCTACAAAGACTACTGTGCCAAATAAGACAGACAGCAAAATTGCAGCTTTCTTTATATCGAAAATCATGTACATCTGCGAGGGGTGATTCTAGACCCTATTTAGAGGGCTACAGTCCCCTTGTTTGTCATGTCAGATCCATTTTTCTGCAGTAAACAACCAGCAAACTATCCTTTGAATTCTCCATCTTATTCTGCAATTTCATGGTTTTGAACTGTATTGAAGATTTTGTATTTTGTTTTGTATTTTTCTTTTGAATTAGGGAAGGTAGTAATGGGGGTTGGCTAGAGGTTTTGTTTGTTATTTTGGTGTTAGCCAAATAACAAGCCATTATATGAGCAATGGCATTAAGCTTTCCATACCCCACTAAATCTGAATGACTGGCAAAGTGTAGCAGTGATACCATTTCGGAGATACTTGTTTTTCTTTGGGCAGCGGCGATTTATTTATTAGCTTGTGTAGGCTAACTACCTAGCCTTTTCAAAAAGCAGGGCACCTTTTAGGGTGGGTTGACACATTTGACTGACTATCAGGTAAACACAAGAGAATATGAAACACAGATGAACCATAAAGATGCAGAAACTGACATAGGATAATAAATAGAAAACTGCTCTCAGACTCCCAGCATGATCAGAGCCACGGCGCTCCACTCATTCTGATGTTACTGAAAGACATTAAACCAAGAACAAAACCACAGACATCGATGTTAGATGATATGTTGCTTGAAGTTTGCAGCTGGACAATAGAGTCTCTAGCGTTACTATGTTAATTAACCCATAATGGCCTTGAAATTCAGGGAAAATTGATTTGCCACATAATTTTTTTTAGAAATTTTGTTTGGGGGCTGAGGATTGTACCTAAGGGTAAAATCCTAGTATAGGATAAGATTTTTATAGGAACAGTTGTAATAAAATCCAGTTAGTTTTTGCTTTTGTAAAGCATACATTTCCATCTTACAAACATATTCCATCAACATTATTGAAGAAAAAAAGGCACAGTAACACCAACAAAATAAAATGTAATGTTATAAAAAAACACTTTAAAGACCATAAACAGTGCCCTTTGGCCATTCCAAAGCAAAAAGTTTGGGCACCTCTGCTCTATAGGGACCCCACATTGGTAGGAAACCAAGGAACTCTGACAGAGGATACATAAGTCTCCAGCAGAAAGAATGAAGTGAATGAATAAACTGTTGTTTCAGCTTTTTAAAGCATTTTGTGTATTACTGAAATTCCATTTGGATTAGGCGCATGCTTAGACGTCGCAATATTTAGCTCAGGGGTTGGGAGCTTTGGATTCTTGCACAGTTTGGTGCCCAAACAAACTTGATTTAACTCATCAGCTAGTTACCAGGTTTAAAAGGTGTTCTAGAGTAGATCCGTAGAAAACTTCTGTAGTGATATTATGCATATGTCCCATTTCGCTTGAAAAACTAAAACCACAAGCTTTTTGTTGTGGCTGCTAGGGGTGTGATGATACACATATTTTCAGCTTCAATACAATATTTGATCCTGATGTCAAGATTTGATTTTTTAAACAGCTAGCAATATGTTCTTGCATGCTGTCAGTATACATGGAAAATGTTGATGCATGTGTGCTTTCATAATGTTGACAAATGCAGTATTGTTTTAAATACCACAATGGCTTCCTCGCACAAGAAGCAGACTGCTTATCTTTAAATTCACTGCAAAGACATTCTTCACCCTGTCTCTGCCTCAACAACTATAGGCTCCTCCAAGCAGCAGGCAGAAAATCTAAAAAGGAAGCTACTTGATGTCGACAAAACAAGGGAAGACTATAAAAAGATTTTAAAGCACTTTCAGCTCACTTTTTTCACTGTCCAAAATGTCATTAAAAATGACAGTTAAGGAGAATTGTAGAATTTGGTCTGCAAGACCAAAAAAAACTCTGCTGACCTGTGCTGACCTGAAAAGACAAAGCAAAACCCCCATATGACAGCTCTCCAGGAAGGTTTAGCCCAGTGTTTCTCAGTCCTGGCCCTGGAGGCCCACTGCTGTGCACTTTTTATAGTTTTCTCTGCTTGCAACAAACCTGATCCAACTAATCAACCCATTAGCAGCCCATTAATAAGTTAAAGTGGCAGGGAAAACACAAAAAAAGTGCAGGGCAGTGGGCCTCAGGACCAGGGTTGAGAAAAACTTGTTTAGCTGACACAGAAGTGGTGGTGCACCTTTCTACTGT